GCTCTGCTTTGGTCCCTTTGTGTCTTTAGAGCAAGTGGTTAACGTGAAAACTGCAGCCTTATCCAGCTGCCTTCAAAACTCATCATCCTGTTAACACCTTCCCTTGATCCCTTTAAAAAGCACTTCTTAATATAAGCATTGGGAACAGCAAGCATCCCAACAGGGCACATAAGGATCCAGGGAACTGACTGGTGCTCCCCAGTGCCACTGGACATAGCTGGAGGGAGTCAAGGGTAGCCACTAAAATGGAGAGAAGGGGATTTAATTGAGCTCCTACCACCCAGGGCTTCTCCTGCTAGTTCTGGAGAAGTCACTGGTCTGACTGCTAGGAAGAGTAGTATCAAGGCTATGACTTGGTATTTGCTTGAGTCTCTAAAGCTAATCGAAATCCTGCAGACTGTGATGCTGAATATCTTTCTAGCTTAACAGAACCACACCCTTCTCAGTGAAGATGGGCATTTTGCTTCATTTACAGCATGTGGATCCAATATTGTTTATAGTTATAATAATTGTCGCCACTCTTTTCTTTACCCATTCTTGGGTAATCTTTTAACTTCACACCTTGTTTGAGCTGAGAGAGTTGACACTTATGAACAAGTTAATTTCTCAGCTTCTCAAAAATGTACATTGAAAGGCACTCCGCATCTGACCTGCTTTGTCAATCTCTAATGGCATTGTGCTTTATCAACTGGAGTGCTAAAATCTTCAGGATAGGTGAGATTAATCTTACTTTTAGATATTCAATACTTTGAGGCTGAAGTCTGACCTGCTCACCCCAGGCTCCTTGTGCAGTCAATGATGAAAATAGGTATCTCCAGAAGATGATTCATCTCTCTGCTGTCTATCTCGGGGGCGAGATGAATTGCCCTCTGGAAGCGCCTGCTTCCTCTCCGTGGCTGTAAAGGGAGCCTAGAGCAATTGGCTCAGAATTAGACACCTAAAAGTTAGACATCTAAGCCCAGGCAGCTGAATCCCCTGCCTGGTGTCTGCCTGGCACTGTTCCTCCATCACTGTTCAGCTGTTCTGAATTTCCCTCCCAAATGCACGCGGCAGAAAACTGATTCCCTGTGGGAATTCCCCAACACCTGTTAAAGATTGAAATCACCTTCTAACTCCCTGTCCCTCCTGTGCAGCTGAGATCAAACTGTGAGATGAATTCAGTGTGTAGTTGGGTGGGAAGGGGGATAAGGTCAGCCCTCCTGGTTACAGGCCTGGTTTTGGTGTTGGTTGAAAAGCCATGGGCGGCTGTCACTCCTCGTAGGTGACACCTGCATGTTTCTGCATGTGTTTGCTTTGCAAAGATGAATGCACACTGCAGTCTTGATTTTACTTTTCTCCCATTACAGCACTTTTATCCTCAAGTGCCGGACTGGCTCGGCAGCTTCCAGTGGGAATCGTGTTGGTTCTGATAGAGCTGCTTGTCTTTGGTTTTCAGAGCAAATGCCACGTTCCAGGCAGGGGGAAGAGCAGCGGGTGGGGGGAAGCCGTCCGGAACTGTTCTGCTGCTCCCATCCCCAGAGAAACCTCCCCAGGCAAACTCGCACCAGATCTGATGCCAGTGCTATGCAAAACAGCTGCCAGGTGAACCAAGGAGAGCAGCACGGTCCCTGTCTGCAGTGCTGCAGGGAGCCAGCTGAGCTTATCACTGCCTTTTTTCCCCTGTCCGGAACACCAATAAAAGGGAATTGAAGGCTTGTTGGGTGGGGAAGCTCCTGGGAACCATAGTGCAAGGGGCTCAAAGCAATCTTTCTCTATTTAAATCCCAGGGCTTCCCCAGTTTGATGCAATTTAAGGAGGGGGAGGACTGCGTCTAGCAGACACTGGAGACTTTGGATCCCATTGTGTCTGGCTGGTGTAGCAAGAGGCAAGTTGGCTGGTGTGAAGCTCCATTAAAATTAGTGGAGTTCTGGCAGTTTACAGCAGCCGAGAATCTGCTGCCACTTACACTTTTCTTTCTTTTTATCTCCTGGAGCTAGAAAAGATTAAATCTTAAGTGCAGATCCTTGTTGTTTGAAGAGCCCGTTCCTCTAAGGAGAGAAATGACTACTTTAGCATGTGTCCTGATGTTGATAGAAACTGGGAGGAAACTGAGTCTATTTTTAAAATATCTGTAGGAAAGTTACTGATTTAACTGAAAGAGGAGAGCTGTTATCCCTATCACACCCAAACCTTGGCTTTCAGCTGGAATAATTTTAATTTTACTAGAACACTGAAATAGAAAACGATCAGATTTGTTTGCAATTAAATCTGTGCACAAACACTCACTTGTCCTGCTGAAATGCTGAAGAGATTTGTGTATCCAGCTCCCATTTACATAACCACTGCGAGTAGAAATCACCTCGCCCAGTTTTAAATATCTCACTATTGGACATCTAAGTCTGAACTAGTTGCCCCTGGGTCCCTTTGTAGTCAATAAAGAGAAATAGTCATCTCCAGAGGGCCATTCATCTCAACTTGAGATAGGCGTCTAAGATAGGTCAGATGAATGGCCTCTGGAGGTGCCTATTTCTCCTCGCTGTCTACCAAGACAGCCTGGGGCAGTTATCTCAGACTTAGACGCCCAAGCTACGATTCAGTTAATGTCAGTCTTCACACATATTTGCAGTATACTCCACTGTCCCAAAATACCTGGCTGAGATGCTCCCAAACACCTCTGTTGATCTGCAGTGGGACGTGCAAGAGAACAGAGAGTAGGACTTGGAGGAAGCTGTGTCTGGCCTTGAAGGAGAGGAAGTGAAAAAGAAAGGTAGAAATCTGTCAGCTGCACGTGCTTTGGAAGGGAGGAAAAAGTAAGAGATGGGAAGCTTGGAAGAGGAGGAAAGAATATGCTGGAGAACTTGGACCTGGTGGTAACAGTATGGAGCGATACCCCATTCCAGCTGTGCATCTCAAGTGCCAAGTTTTGGGGTGTATGATAGTGACTCAGAGCCATCATCACTGGGACGCAGGGATTTCCCTCAAGGTCTTTGAATCTGGCCTCATCAACATGCTGCATTTGAACGTGAGCAAAACTCTTGTATCCAAGAAACCAGAAGATTGTCTTTTCCTTCCTGTTCTATTTTAGCAACTGGGAACTTAATTTCCTCCTTCTCTCCTCCTTGTCTTTCTTCCCTTTAGCTACTGCCTTTAGATTGCATCAACCCCCCATGGGTTTCAAAGGTAGAAACTGCAGGCCTTGAAGATCCTCACACAGTCCCGCTCAGGTGTGTGGATACTGATTGCGATCATCTATTAACACTATCAACATTCCCATCGTTATATGTGCAGTTGTTGGCTCTTGGGGCGTAGGGCTGGAACGGAATGAATGAACAAATTCCTCAGGCGGGAGCAGCTGGAGAGAGGTGGTCAGGGAGCAGATAGTTACAGCGAGAGGCACGGGAGCATGGAAGCGCGTGGCGAGTTGGAGGTTGTAGTAGAGTAAGGAATTACATGGAAGAAGATAAAGACCTGAGATCAGGAAGAGAAAAAACTTTAAGCAGGTCGGGAGGAAGACGGGAAGCGAGGGCAGGCTCTAGCACAGCAGAAATGCAGACAGGCTGGGGGAGAAGGGGCAGAGCTGGATCTAAGTTGAGTTGCAAGTGGCAAGAAGACAGAGGAGATTTCAGAGCGCGGGAGGGCAACAGCTTGTTCTGCCGTGAAATATTGTTCTGGTATTGTTTGATAGCGAAGACCTACAGCTCAGCCTAACAAGAACAACAAAGGCAGCTCAGTTTTCACAGTCAATGCTGTTAACATGTTGCAGATTAAATCTCCAGAGCTGTTTCTAGATAGCAGAGAACAGGGTGCCGTGAAATTATCATTGACTCTAAAATATTTTGCCATCTATGAATAATTGTACCAAGCACGCTCCCCTGAGGATCTCAAAGAACCATGCTGATTCACCTGGGAATATTATGTGTATGGTGCAAGCTGAAAAACTGCGTGCTAGAGTAGGGCAGAGCCTTGCTCAGTTGAAGAAAGCAAGTTAATGGGAGAGTTGGATTTGCACTCCTGCCTGCACAGCCTCTCTTAACTGCTTTCCAATTTTTGCAAGAGAGACATTAACCACTGAAAAACATGATGTGTTGAAGCTTGATCAGATCACAGGGCATGGGCTATGCTTTATGGGGAACGTTATACTCGAAAAAACAGGAGCAGGAGACCCTGGGGGCTTCTGCCGGCGGGATGTGAACAATTTAAGACTGTTTATCACAAACTCAGTTGGACTGGAAGAGAACGACTCAGGGAATGGGTTGCAAAGGGAAGGGAAGGGGTTTCTTGGGGTTGCCTTTGCAACTAAAGAGGCTTCGTGGAATCCCTTAAAGCATTCATATCTGTGGAGCGTACAACCTTTCCTCTGTGATGTTCTTGATGAATTTGGCAGGTGTGATGGGGGGGGAATGTTTATCATCAAAGGGGAATGAGTGAGGGCCTGTGCGGTACCTTCAGGCTGAAACCTGTCTGATTTTTCCCCCTATGCCTGCCAATCTCTTTTGGAATCAAGGAGACGCCTCTTGAGCACAACCCCACAGCACCCTCTGTTCCTTTAAATATCCTGTAATTACTCAGTGCCACACGGGTTCCTGAAGGTCCCTGGTTAACAGCCTCGGCCACCTGTTTGTTAGCCTCTCCCACAGTTAGTTCCTGCTTTGTGTACAGTGCCTTGGTCCTGGATTTCCCTGGAGATTTGCAACATCCTCCAGCTCAGCTCTGCTGGAATCTCCCTTGCAGTCAGTGAGCTTTCCCCAACCCTTGCTGCTTGGCCAGGTATCTCCCAGGCAGAAGCACTTCCATTATACTTCAGCAAAGGCTGATACCACCAAATGTTGTAAAAGATGCCTTTGTACTTCCATTGCTGCATTCGCATTGACTCCACCTTCCTCCTCCTCTCCTTGCTCTTACAGTAAACTGAGCTGGGCTAGCAGCATGTCTATGGTTATGTGTGTTCTAAGTTCTGGAAAGTTTACATCAGTGCTGACTGTCATTAATACTGAGATATTTTTATGTTTGTTTCTTTGTAGGAAATGAACAGAATGGGCTGGACTTCAACAGGCAGGTAAGACACTCCCTGGGTTACCAGGTATTCTCCTGCTTTCTTGACTTACTGTTTTTTAATTGCTCATCTTGCTGAGTCCCAGGCAGCTACTGCTAAGAGATAAAAACTGTTAGGTCAGAAGCTACTATTAAACAGACCACATAAGTTCTTCCCAATTCCCCTTGTGGGATAGAATGACAGATTAAACTTCTGGTTTCCAGGCCTTCCTATTTCATAGAAGTTCAGTTAATTACAGAGTTTCTTTAAATCAACATTTGCTTGAGGCTTTTTAATTTTTCCCATTGTCATTTAGAAACAAAAGGGACCTTGGTTACACTGGCAAACGTGCAAATCCCGCCTCAAAGCCCCATGCATTTCTACTGCTTGTGACACTGGCACTGAAAGCACTGTGGTATGCAAGTCTAAGAGCATGGGGCTGACTCACAGGAGTATCAGCAAGGACTGAAGATGAAGTGGTTTGAGGTCTTGAAGTTCGTAGGTCAAGACCAGGCCTGCCTACAACGGCAGATTCCTCTTTGCAAGACAGTGGGGAAAGGGACAGCAGGTAAAAGCAAGTGCTTCTTGAAGGGCAAACAAGCCCGAATTGCAAACAAACGTGTGAAGGACCGTTGTTTTTGCTGTGTTTGCTGTTATCCTCCTGCTTCATATAGCTAAAAGTAACCCTTGTCTCACTGAGTGCCTGGAGATTTTCATATATGGCTCTAAGAAATCCCTGAATGTCACATCAGAATTGCAAGGGGAGGAAGGTAACAGCCCTCTGGAGCATATAGATCTTGAATCTGTGCAGACACATGAGAAAACACTCTCTGAGTCCAGAGCTAAGGAATCCTGTGGCCATCACTGGAGCTGGACTCAGACCTCATAAAGAAAAAGAGGAGGTCTAGAGAGCTAACTCACTGATGTGCTGCAGGACTCCCGGGGTTGGCCAGGGAGCTGGAGCGAGGAAAGCAAAAGGAGCTGTAACTCCACGGGCAGTCGCTAGCATTTGAAGCATATGCTGGCACTCTTAACAGTACAGCAACCTGCCTGCTTCCAGCTGTTCATTTCCTGAGTTCAAGGGTTGCAATCCCTTGCAAAGGCTTCCTGCTAGCAGCAGGTGGGCAGCTGAAGCTTCTCGCTGTGACTCTTCTGTCCTTCAGGCTTGCCTTGGTGACTCGTGTCTGACAGATGTCAGCAAGCTGCTGTTTGTTTGTTTGGTTTGGCTGCTCTAGTTTTGGGTGGGTCGTAACTTCCTATCAAAGGTGTCTTAACACGTTCAGCCATCTTCCAGGTTTTTGGAATACCCAGCTGAAAACAAAAAGTCTTATGTCTCCAGCTCTGTGGATTGCAGAGCCCAAAGCACAGGGTTTCTACACGCCAAAAGATGAATCCAATCTGCTTATAACTGGTGATAAAAGGAAATTCCCTCAAGATAGAAATAAGCTATGAAAGTACAAGATCATTATGTGTTGCAAACTTTTCCTATGGCAACACCACAAAGATGTTAGAACTGGAAGGTAGGCTGAGGTTAATCAAGGAAACGTTATTGACTGTGGTGAAGTGGTGCTGATTTACACCCACTGATGATTTGACCCATTATTTTTAAGGTCCTGGTCCTCTGCATGCCACTGAATGAGTGAATGCTGGTAAAGTTGAGGGGGCAGACAGCCACACAGTCAGTGGGATGTGGACCAGAACCTGCTTATTAGAAGTGTCCTCCGCCTGAAAAGAGATTATGGATTTGTGACAGCCTTTTGTAGTATTCACTTCCCACCTTTTTTTTTTTTTTTTTCCTTCCACCAAAGGGGTACTGCAAAATCCCTTTCATTTGTGCCAGCACATCTGAGTAGCAGACATGACTGCTACTTATCCAGGTTTAAAAAGCAAAAACCTGTGAACAAACTCATATTAACATGGGGGTTGTTTTAATCCAGTCTGATCCTCCAGAACATAGGTAGTGTTGACAGAAGGGACTTTGCAGTGATGTCAGTCCCTGTGAGTGGACATAGGGGTGTGCAAATGGCTCTTTGTCTCCCTCTCTTGGCCCTCTCAAGTCTATGTGTAGACTTGAGCCATTATTGTTGTTATTTTAAAAGAGCATGAGCCCAAACGCACATTGGTTATACACACACGTTTCAGGTTGACCTCAGCTATTGGTGAATAAATCTTCAATTCAGCAAATAGATTGCAAATGAAGAGAAAAAGGAAGAAGGGAGATATGGAAATATCAAAATGTTTTCATATAAAATCAGGTGCTGAGTTCTTTCATTAGGGGTGGAGGTTGGTGGGTTTTTTAATTTTGGTTTGGGGTTTGAGGTTGGTTTTGGGTGGCTTTCTTTTTTTGTTACCTTGCAATTCAAGTTTTCAAACTGAAGCCAGAGAAGTATGGTTTGAAACCCAACTGCAAACTGAATGCAAGAGCTGCTGAGCTCTCTTTGACTTTATTTGGAGTGCTGGGCGCTAATCACTTTGAAGATCATAAATCTCACATCATTTAAGCCTCTCCCCCAGTCTTTGTAGATGGCCTACATTTCAGGTCTGTTTCCCTCCCATGTTACGCTCCAGGCGGGAAAAGAAGGGTGGAGTGACCTGGTTAGACCCCTTACCTGCCTACCAATTCCCTGCTGTGGCTGTTCTCACCCTGAAAATGGGGAGGAGGGAAACTCTTGCGGAGTTTGAGGTTTTCTCGCAGTTTGTGGGTCAGCCCTGCGCTTTATGAGAAATCTGCCTTCTGATCCCTCAACCTATTTGGCAAACATTTCTTCCCCCCTCCCCTCTTCAAACTCTCCTCCCACCTGGATGCAACAGTAATTTGTATGTGAATGAGAGGGAAAAGGGTGTGTATGGAAAAAGAAGCATCTTCTGCCTTGCCTATCTGGTTTGGCTTTTTATTTAGTGAGTCTAATGCTGGTTGTTTCCTGTTTATATCAAGGGAAATGCAAAGACACAGTAATAAACTTTCACCTTCAGTGCTGGCAACCTGGATAGGGACATCTGCTTCTTGATGGTTTGGGATCACATCCAGAGTACGTCAGGGACAGAACTGAGTAACGCGGCAAATGTGGCTTCACTCTTGACATGAAAGGGCACTAAGTGGGACCAGGAAAATGTCTGACTGCAAGTGTTGAAATCAGAACTTTTCCCCTCCATAATGTGGTGATCCTTACCAGGTGATGCTGCTGTGGTCTTACCAGGTCTGTTTGGTTTATTTCCCTGTTGGTATAAGCATCACTTAGCCTTTAAGGAAATACTGCATTGTTTGTTTTTGTAGATGACTCTGAAGAGAGCTGTTCTAGAGTGCCAGATAATTCATCCTGTGTCTGGACTTAATCCCTGAGATAATATTGTTTTCTGGAATACAAGCACATAGCTAGAGCTGATGGTCTGGGGAGAGAACAGAGCTTGTGTGCATGGTGTGAATGCTGTAGCCCAGCACGTAGTGCTGCAATTGATCCACAGCAGAAGGAGGGAAGTATACAGATGCTGAATCACGGATTTCTTTTCCATCAGGAAAGTGATGTGTAGGACTGTGTCATCTGTTGGTTTTTGTAGCAATGCAGTTTCTGAGTGCCAGGGAGGAATGAAGGCTCCCATCTCTCCTTCCAGAGGAGAGAATGAGAGGTCCCCTCCAAGCCCCTTCATGCTCTTGAGCATTGAGCTGCACTCCAGTGCTGGAAGAGAATAGTCTCATCTGAAATAAAGCTGAAAGGTTATGTGTTACCAGTGCAGGAAAGGCTTAGCAGGATCTGCATGTGCTCTGTATCCACATATGACATGCAGTTTCATTCCAGCAAAGGCTAACCCTTGCAGACAGGCTGTCATTTGTTTAATGGTAATGATGGGTTTGATATTTGTATCAATGTAAAGGTGATCCTGCCGTGAGACTTTACAATATTTAAGGCAGACAAGCAGGCACTAGTGTGCTTGAGCAGCCCAGGGCTCAGCACATCCTGAATTATCCTGTTGGTTCTTTACTCCTATTACTTTATTTTCTTTGGTTTACACTAATCAGGGGATGTAATAAGTATATATCTCTTTCCAATAGGCTTCTTAGAAATAGAATCTTGGGATGGATTTACCTGGGAAAAGGAGATAGCTTGGAGATGTATTGCTGGGGCAGGAGAGATCTTCAGAACACAAAGGGAAGCCTCCAGAACAAAATAAGGAAATAAGATATGCAATTGAAGTGGCTTTGAATTTCATATGCACATTAGCTAATCACTTACATTTGCACATCTGGTTGTATGCATTGCCATTTTGACTGTTGCACATGACTGTAAGGGACATGTTTCAAAATCCCTCTCTTCCAGTGGTCAGTCAGCATTAAATAATTGAGCTGCTGAAGACTCCCAGTCAGTAGGACCTGAGCAGACTTTTTTTTGGCCAAGTGAGTGTGTCTGCTAGTATATCACAAAAGAGCGGTGAGGGACGGTGTCTGCTGAAAAATTCCTCCCTTACAAAACCAAGTGAAGGGTCCTATGTGTTACTGCCCTGCTCTCTGCAAGACATGCCAAAGGGGTTCCCCTCCCTCAAGACCTCCTTATGTAACTCATCTCCCTGCCCTGTTCATATGACAGAGTTATTGTTCAAGGGAACTTTAATTTTTGAGGTTTATGTGGGGTTTTCAACAGATGTTTTGAGGTAATAGGGTTGTCTCAGGTCTTCACAGCAGATGTCCTGTAGACACGCGATATGAAAAATTAAAGTGGCCAAACAGCATCTGAGATCTAAAATCACTGGTGACTCTTTTTCAGTGTCATTTGGTACTTTCCACCCACATGTCTGAAGGCACTTAGCTAATGAATTTAGCATCCCAGTGCCTCTGGAAGGTAGGGAGGTGTTTAACCTTGTCTTACAGCTGAGGTAGACAGAGACTGACTACCTGACTTTACCCAAAGGTGCTGAGCACCATGATTGCAGTTGAAATCAGTGGATGCTTTATAGGACAGTTGCCTGTGGACATTGAGGTGTATTGTAATCCAAGGACCTGTTCCCTGGAAGAGCTGGGATACGGACTCCGA